GGAAGGCACAGACAGAATCTGTCAGTGCACATATTGCAGCTCGAGAATACTGTGTCCAAGGTGAAATAGGAAGCCAGTCTTCTGTGCCCCACATGAGTAAGTGCCACCATCACCTCTCTGCTACCTCATACCCAAAGGGCTACCACTTACTCTAACGCTTCCACTCTATGCAACACACAAACGCTCACGGACTACAATCTTACTATTGCATGTGGATGTCAACTCAATGGCCCTCACCCAACTCATCCTCCCAAACACTTGCTGCACTCTGAGCTTCCTGTTCACTCACCTGGGATACCTCACCATTAGCTGCTTCTCCATCATCGCTATCTGTTTTCTCATCCACTTCCACCATTCTCAATCCCTCCCATTGCGTAATTACAGGACAAATTGATTCATCCCCTTGATTGATACCTCCACTCTACCCGGACTGACCTACCTGTAATCTCCAGCCTGGTTACACTTGACTATCTGTTGCCTAATCCTTGGACTCCAAGGATTCTCGGACTCTGGGTAGGACTGAGTAAAGAATAGTTAGATTTAGCTTGTGCAATTTGCATCAGTCGCATAATTTACCAACTCTTTGAACATCAGAGACAATGTAGAATTTTGTTAGGTAGAGTATTGTCATGTAGAGAAGAGATGATACATGGACTTTGAGATACAGATCAGTCATGATTTAACTGAATAGCAAAGGAGACCCAAGGGGCTGAAGGGCTTAATGCTGCTCTTAAATTTCCTCGATTCCTCAAGGCAATGCTTTTCCTATCCATTCTTGGAATTAATTGCTAAAAGTACAATTTTCCTTCCTAAATTATGTACACAGATAGAGCATTGATCCATCTTCCCAATGACCTATAACAAATAACTAGCAACTTTAACAGAGGAGCCTATCTTTGAGCAAAATCAGGTTTGGCAACAATTTCTTTTCATGTGGGTGCTTTTAGATTGTTGGTGGAGTTCTGTTTGAAGGGTGAATAAAGCACCTGTGTCAGGTAAACAATCAAATTCATGCCAGTCATCTTTCTCAATTGTGGGAGGTGCTCTTTCGCATTATTTCAAGTCAGACAGGTATTTAACCTTTTTAAATTTGTCTTTTGTTTTTAAAATGTATTGGGATCTCCACGTTTGGATTTGACCGAGATCTCACAGTTGAAAAAAAACCTCTGATCAAACTACATCTTTTATCTCCCCTTATCATCTACATAATCTATTTCTTTTTTTTTTCCACCTTTCTGGATACCACAGATGGAACCTTTGTTTATGTACCTCTGGTGATATTTTTCTAAAACATGGTTTCTAATGCAAGTGCAGAAATTCTGCACAATTACAGAGCGACATTAGGATTGCATCCAATGCTGTCTGGATATTCCTGACAATTGCCTTTGTTATTCTTCAAATGTCTTTGCGATTCTACGCATTTTTCTCCATGGTGATCTATTTCAAGTTTGGTACAACGTGTCAAGTGGAAGCAAATCAAAGAAACCACATAAAGTTTTGTTTATTGCAGAGTTTTGATACAGTTCTAAATGAAATGCTAGTCTAAACATTTTGGTTATACATTCTCCACGGGATACCCCATTAAAAAGGAAGAAATATAAAATTATTTCATTTCTATTTTTTCCAAGTATACAACATGGACCGAACTCCAAGCTACCTTTAAAAATGCACGAGTCCCAGTGACTGATTAAAGAATGGGAGAATTTATATTGCCTTAAGTCCTTTCATGACATCAGGACTTTCCAAAAAGCTTTATGACTAATGAAGTGTTCTTAAAATATAGTAATTGTTGTAATGCTAGGGATGCCACAGATAACTTGTGCACAATAAGAGACCAGTTCATCTAATTTAATGATTCTGGTTAAAACATAAGAATTAGCCAGAGCACCAAATAGATCTTCTGCCATTGTTCAAAATAGTACCAAGAGATTTTTTTTATATCCATTTAAGAGGGCACATTCGGGCTTTCATTGAACATTTCACTTAAAAGACTGCACCTCGACAGTACAGCATTCTTTCAGTACTTTCTTTCCTGGAATGCCTGCCAAGCTTACATACTCAAATTTGACAAAAGCTAGGTGTGCCACTGGTTTATTGGCCATCTTGAAAAGTGTGCCTTTTAAATAATAGAAAAAGAATTGGGAGCTTACTTTGGGAAACATTTTAAGAATTGAAAGACACGATAGTGGTCTGAACAACTGAAGGGTAATGCCAAGGATATTGAAGAAATCGGGGGTATTCTTGTTACCATGCCAGGGAACTGGTCCTAACTGTGTATAATACTGTAAATCCGGTGATAGCAACTTGGCAACTTGCTTCATAACAACAAATTCCTGTGGATAATGAAGATCTGAAATCAAAACAGAAAATGTTAGAAATAGTCAGCCAGTCTGGTGACATCTGGTCACCATCATGACCTCATTGAGTGGCTAAGCAGACTCAATAAGCTGTGTAGTCTACTTCTGTTCATACTTCTCATATTATTACCAATGCAGACGGGTAGAAAAACAAATTGTGAGAAGGATAAAGTCTACAAAAGGATATAGTTCAGTTTTTAAAAAATGACAAAAAAATTGGCAAACGGATGTGGAATGTAGGAAGATGGGAGGTTGTCTATTTTGGCACGAAGAATAGGAAAGCAGAATATCATTTGAACAGAGAGATTTCAGAATGCTGCAGTACAAAATGATCTGAGAGTTCTTGTGCATGAATTACAAAAAAAAGAGTAGCATCCAAATAATTAAGCAGGCAAATGGGTCTCGATAGGATGCTCTGAGGGTTGGTGTGGACTTGTTGGGCCAAAGGGCCTGTTTCCACACTGTATGGATTCTATGATGATGATGATGAAATAGAATGTTGCCTTTGTTGATGCTCCAACTCGCTTCAATGTAAGGAAGTTTGCTACAACGGTACAGGGCGTTGGTAAGATCGCACTTTATTTAAGGAGGGGTGTACTGCATTGGAAGTAGTTCAGAGAAGTTTTATTAGGCTGACTTCTGGGATGAGAGAAGGAGCAGCTTGAGTCTAAACTCAATGGAGTTTTGAAGAATGAGAGGTCAACCTGTAGAAACATAAGATTCTGAGAGAGTTTGAAAGGGTCACTGCAGGGACATTGTTTCCTCTTATGATGGAATCTAGAACTAGGGGTCTCCCATGAAGGTGAGGAACAATTATTTCTCTCAGAGAGTGGTTATTCTGTGGGATTCTCTCGCAGGGAGTGTGGAGCAGGCCCAGCCATTGATTGGATTCAAGGATGCATGATTTTTGATCAACAAGAGAGTTAAGAAAGGAAGAAAAGTGCAGTTAAGACCACAAACAAATCAATGATGATCTTATTGAATGGTGGCTGAGAGTCCTACTATTCTTCCTTATGATTTCTCATCAGCTTATGCCTGGATGAGTGCAGATATCAAGTTACAAGTGGTGCAACAATCCTGATGCTCACAGGCGGCAGACTTAGACTTAGAATCCCTACAGTGTGGAAACAGGCCCTTCGGCCCAACAAGTCTGCACTGACCCTCAGAGCATCCCACCCAGACCCATCCCCCTGTAACCCACCTAATCTACACATCCCTGAAACACAATTTAGCATGGCCAATCCACCTAGCCTGCACATCTTTGGACTGTGGGAGGAAACTGGAGCACCCAGAAGAAACCCACACAGACACGGGGAGAATGTGCAAACTCCACACAGACAGTCACCCAAGGATGGAATCGAACCCAGGCCCCGAGTGCTGTGAGGCAGCAGTGCTAACCACTGAGCCACCGTGCCAACCCCTAAAAGCCCAACAATTCAGGTCTGAGACCTTTCATCAGTTCTGATTCTGTTTGTTTCTGCACAGGTGCTGCCCCCCCCTGCTGAGTATTCCCAGTATTTTCTGTTTTCAACCTGTTTTACATCTGGCCCAATTTTTATTTCCATTGATATTAAGGTAAATGTTAAACAATTCATGCAACATAAGATGGGCTGCTCATGTTGGTATCATTCATTTTACACTCACACAAAATCAAAATTTACTTCCTAGTGTTTCATCAAATGATGAAAGATTGCCAAAATGTTAGTCCACGGAATTTAGTTTAGTTTGCCATAAGATATTTTGTCATTCAAAAACAGATGCACTCCTTTCAGCATGGCTTACATGCCTCAGTTCAGAAATAACCTGTTTTCATGCAGCCTTTGAAAAAGTTAAACACAAATGCACATAAATATATATCGTATACGCAAGGCTTATATTGAACACACTTCCTTAACAATAATCGCTTACAAATCAATAACACCTGTTATAACCTATTACACACTTTGAGGCGCTACATCTTGCTAAAAAGAATAAAAGCCCCAAATGATTTGGAAAAAAATGGTTTCTAAATGAGATATAGGAGCAGAGGGATCTAAGAACACAGTTAAACAAAAAGCAAGATATAGTGTTTAAGGATAATAAGGCTATAATCAAACAAAACCTAGCACTATTGCTTGTTTCTTGAGTCATAAAACTGAAAAGTAGAGCAGTTGTGTTAAATTTGTAAAGCACCTTGGTTAAACCGTAGTTGGAGTGAGCAATTGTGGTTTCTGTATTGTAGAAAGATTATAGAGTCACAGGAGAATAGATGTACTCAAATGATAACAAAACTGAGAAGTTATACCCATCAAAAAAGATTGAACAAGAAGAAAAGATTAAGAGAGGGTTTAGTAGAAGTCTTCAAGATTATTTAAAGAATTTGGTAGGGTAAATGCACACACATTTGCAGGGGATAGTGACCAGATCCAGGAGTCAGGGTTGAGTACATTGGGAATTTTGGATTTGGATGCCATCCAACCCATCTCTAGCAGGACACCACTTGAGCCATTGTGTGATAAGTTAAGTTTCATGTCTAATACAGAGAAGCATGTCACTAAATCCATTCCACATACTACATGTGAAGTTTTCCTAAAAGACAGTTTTATTAAAATATCAGATATTTACAGTGGAAATAAAATCTAAGAGCTATACATTTATGAGCAGAGGAGAAAGTATATTGTTGATCACAATAAAACAGAATGTGAAACAGATACCTTCACTGTTAGTGAAAAAAAATTAAAAATAATGAGCCAAAATATTGAATTAGCTGTGTTTCAGAATCTTCTCCCACAGTACATCTGGTTTGCTGGATTCAGTACTTGAGCTGAACGGTGACTCAGTTTCCATCGATGCTTCAGGTGTTAACATAAATTCAGGTTAGAGTTCTCAAAATCCAGAAAACCTTCCCCTTTAAGGAATCTTTGCTATTCGAGAATCATCAACACTTTGCTATAGCTAATGAAAACTCCTTGACTGGGCTTGCTGTATGATCAAAAACAAAGGCAGTGGTAGGTCAGAACATTAAGTCTGAATTTAAACAAAACCTTGCATGTAACAAGATTTGCATATAGCAGAACATGCTACACTTGTACTGATTTGATCAGAGACAAATTGGGACTGGTTAGTTATTTTATTAATTTACATAATTCACTTGAGAACAAAATTTCTACATTACCGGTGAATCGTAGGGGGAGGCACAGGCAAACCAGAAAATCAACTGAGATAGTAGTTCAACATTTGGGGCTATGTACTTGGAAAGTAAAAGCAATATCAGAGAGAGAAGGTGAAAGAGCCTGAGATTAGGACTAATAAAAAGGCGATTTCCAGAGCTTACGTTGAAAGAGGCACTTAAATGGTCTCCTTTCTGTGAAATTGTATGAACAAGAACAATTTCTGTCAAAGATGTACACATAGATGTACATCTGAGGAGATTTAACTCATGATCCGGAAGAGGCAAAGCAATGGGGAATTTAGTTGCTTTAAGTTTATATTTTCTGGCTGCAGATTAATCAGAAATTCACCATTCAAGACCTGCATCAGCAAACAGCGCTGACAGCTATACAGAATTCATTGAAAACGTTCAGCAGGCCTAGCACAATCTGTGGAGACAGGAAGAGTTAATGTTTCGAGTTGAATATGACTGTTTCTGAGTGACCAGATTCTCCAGCCCTTCCTGTTTTATTTCAGATTTCCAGCATCCATATGATTTTGATGTTATTTTACAGTTTCAATAACATAGTGGCCAAATCCAGCCTCTCGACTTGTAAAGTGTAAAGGAAAATTAATATGTTTCATTAAAACTCGTGGAAGTAACTGTGATTATGACAGAATTATTCTGTCAGAGAATCTATCTTTACTTCTTACATCTGCAGAAAGGACAGTATTTTCTACTTTCAGATCAGTTTGCTAATGCTTGCAGTTTCATTTGTCCTAGGTCAGACCAGACTGATTTTGTTTCAGCATTTATCAGCTCAGCAGAGGGCACAAACCAATAACAAATCCACAGCTTTTCAAGTGGATAAATTAACCGACAATGACAAAACTTTCACAAGTCAAACATATCTGCTTCCTCTTGCACCAAGCAAAACACTAGTGACAAACGTAACACATTTACAAACTATGCCTTATTTGCACTCTTGCATTGGGAGAACAGAAGAAAAAGACCTGGGAAACTTTGCAAGATGCCACAACTGCACCAGTTATTAGGCTATCTCTAACATCTTTCTTCTTCTGCGGTTATCTATTTTAACTATGATCGTAACTTATTGAAGTTCAAGGTCACAGTGATAAATAAGCTGAGCGTCGAAGAACTGCAACAGAAAAATGGAGAGAGGAGATAGGGAAAACCATCATAAAGGAAAGTTAGGGAGGTTGATTAGAAAGTGAAAGAGAGGTGACTGGACATTGTGTTAATGGAAGACAAAATAAACACAGGAGCCAAAAAATAACAAATATAGAATAAAGGTCATAAAAACAAAATTTTGAATCATTCTAAATTCAGTGTGTTTCTTTAAAAAAAATGACATTTTAAATTGGTAATTTAGTTTAAAAATCTAGAGAGGGAAACAAGTCAGGCTGAAGGGTCTGCTGATTCTCAGCTTTGATGATGCTTCCATAGTGATGTGAAGTTTAACTCTGTGAGAATACACTTGCAATGGAGCCAATGCAGTGAAGCTTCACCAAATTGGTGCCTGGGATGAGGGGTTGAGTATTAAGGCTGAGCTACAGCAAACAATTAAGAAGGCAAATGAAATGTCGGCCTTCATGACAAGAGATTTTTGGGTAATGTTATCTTACTGAAGTTGTATACAGACCACTCCTGGAGTACTGGGTGCATTTTTGATCTCCCTTACAGGAGGAAAGATATACTTGACACAGAGGAAGATTCTCCAAATGAAGGATTGTCCTATGCAGAAAGATTAAACAGTCTGGGCCTATATTCTCTAGGGTTTAGAAGAATGATAGATGATCACATTCAAACATGCAGAATTCTTTCAAGAATTGACAGAGTGGCAGGGAAGATGTCTCCCCTACTAAGAACCAGGTGACACAGCTTCATAATAACGAGCAGACCATTAACCACTAAGGTGAAATTTCTTCACTCAGACAGTGGTGAATCTTTGGAATCTTCAGTGGAGGCTTATCATTGAGCATTTGAGACTGAGATTAATAGATTTCCACATATTGGAAACAACAAAGGATATGGTGATGGTGCACTTGAGGTGTCCTAACCTGCAAGGTTACAGATCAAGAACTAGAAAATGGGGTTAGACGGAACAGCTCATTAGTGACCGAACGCCCTCTTTTTGTGCTGTAAATGTTTTATGTTTCTCTGCTCATAAATTGACACTCTCTGTCACACCAGGCTGATCCATAACTAAACTTGCATGAATTTGTTTCTTCCTGAGAGTGAATGCAAAGGACAGTTAAAAATGTTTCATTCTCATTTGGCAGAAACTTCAGAAAGACGGGTACTTCTTAATCTGCACGCCTCATAAAGGAAAACTAATAAAATTAATACATTGATAAAGGGGATAAAGTTATGTAGGAACCATGCAGGATTTAATTTCTATTCATGTGAGTGAAAAGTACCAACACAGACGGCTTTGACCAAAGGATCTATTTCTGAGTTGTAATTTCTACATAATTCCTCCATGGAAACGGATTGGTTGAAAATACAGGGATGTGAATGAGATGGTTCCTGTAAGGAGATTCCTCAGAAAGCAGTTGTCTCTTAAATCAGATCTCCATCCTGCTTGTGCAGACAACCCTCTGCTTCCTAACTGCTAACATTATCTGCATGGATACTGTGCTTTGAGGAAACTTGACATTGATGCTCTCATGCAAATGGAGCACTCTATATTGCCCCAAAATGTGACCAGCTGCTGCCTTTAAAGGGGCATCTTGACCTTGGTCACTCAGGCTTCCAACACAATGACCCAACTAGCCCAGCGTGCTTTGGAACCATCGCGTCTAGGACTGATCAATCAGAAAACTGCATACTTAATGTGGCTACATTTAACTGGTTTCTGATACAGCAGCCAAAAGGACCCCTTTAGAGCAGACCCCTTCATGTGGAGAGCAGCAAGGAGAACCAGCATAGACTCCTTTTTACAGACACTAGGTGGCATACGTTTCCAGTGTGAATGGTGGAGAGTGGATGAATGTTACTGAATTACTAAACTGGCTGGTGGGCATTGTAGCAGGTGACTGAAGTGGGCAAGGTGGCTAGCTGGTTATGTGGATCCAGTCTAGTTATGTCAGGTTAGGAGTTGTCGGCAGGTTGGGGGCTGGTCTGCTTGGCTTGCTGAGGAGCAGTTGGGTGAAGAGGGATAATCAGGTTGGGTTGGGGAGTAGTCGAAGGTTTGGAGGGATTGTTGGGAGTTGAGAAGGTTGTCAGGTATCAGGTGGGAGTCATTACAAGTGATCCAGAAGTCAGTAATGCTGTTATCCATTCGTTGCACTAGGTTTAAACCATGTAATATTTCCTAGATAACTATTGCTGGTAAGTATATCGGTTTTGTCTTAGTCTCCCGCTCTAACCTAGAATCAAAGACTTTTGCAGAGAGTTCCAGGGAGCAGTGGAATTTCTCATCAGAATTTAAAATTTTTCCAGACAATCCAGATGGAGTCAGCATGTCGTGATTTCTGCAGAGTCCTGATATGCATCTTGTCTCTGATGACCTGGAGATTGGAGGGTCTGAGCTCTTGTTTTAGCTCAGCCAGGGCTCCCTAGTCACCGACTAAACATGGATTTGATTGCCACAAGGTCTCACAAGAGGAAAAGAGACACTGCCATCAGAAACTCTGCTAGTTTTGGTGCAGCTGGCAATAAGGACATCATTTCATGCCCACTGTCATATTCTCCAATCTAAAAACTCACCACCTCCTCTTCCCTTCCCTATCTGCGCTCTGTATTTGGTCATTTTATACTGGCTCATTTGCCCTCAACTGTTTTCTTGGGAAGGTCTATCACCAATAATCTGACTTGAGAGAAGGGAAACAATGTTGACAGTAAGTTAGGCAAGTACACTCCTGAACTCGAAGATGTAGGAAAGGATGAAATCATCATGGAAAATTGATAGCCTCATCCATTGGCAAGGGGAGCTTCACAAATCCTACATGTACACGATCAAGGTGGAAGCTGTTCCTCAGGGCAACCAAAGCCCTGAATGCCTCCTGTCAGTTTTTTCCCCAAACCATTACTGGCAACCAAGTAACTCCCTGTCCTGAGCCAATATTCCCTCTTGCCATCTTAACAATCAACCACCAACTGCCTCTGATTTTGAGTCTGCCCAGCCTCTACTTTCAACACACTCAGCAATCTGACTGCCTGCTCAAAAAGGGAAATTAGCTATGATGCTAATTATTTCTTTAAATTCAGTGTTTCAGCTGCTTCAGACACTATGTAATCAATAAGGTGCAGTGTGCGAGTTCTCCTCTTTTTTCTCAGTATGGGAGTCTCATGTGCATCAATCAATTTATAAGTTGCAGGTCCATCAGGAGTAAGGCAGTGAAAGTGCTGCATTCAAACTCAGCCAAAGGTATGGGAACAATTCTGTAGGGTTTCTCAACCTTACTGGTATTTGTTAAGACCTGCTGGGTGGGTGCTAATCTAGCAGTGGGGTGAACACTGGTCCAAGAATGACTATGAATGCTGGAATTCTCTCTCTAGAATCACACCGGAATGAGATCCTACTTCATTATTTCAGGGAAGAAAGAAAAGAGAAAAGAGAAATTTTCAAAGCAAAGGGAGTACATGAAATAAAACATCAGGGCCATGAACTTCTCCTGATGTTCCACTTCAACTTCAGCATAAAGTCAGTGGAAAGCTAGTAGAAACAGTGAAAGTCATTAGAGGGAGACATCGCAGCCTGGTGACGTCTGGCCCATGGGTACATTATCATGGATATCCAAATGTACATCAATCTGAGGACTTCAAGCTTTCAATCAGTTAAGAGTTACAGCAGAACTAGTAAACAAACAAAAGATTGCAAGGGTGGCAAGAGCTCAAAATGACTTCTTCTAACACAGGAATCTTTGTTAATAAAGGAAAGGGTTCTTTCACTTTCAGAAATAATTTTGATAGCAAGAATCTTTCTTCAGAATCGAGGTTGGAGTTGCCAGAAGCATTGGATCAGGCATTCAATGATCCTCTACGCACTCAAAGAATGCAGAAACCTCATAATTGTTATTATCAAACATGTTGTTTTAGTGTTCGTGTACTGAATATATATGCAGTGATACCAAAGGAAGATTCAAACCCCCAATGGACATCTAACTTTAAGTGTTCTGAAGGATGTGTGCATTTAAGTTACATGCATTGTCTATATTAATATTTCAGGTACAACAGCAGTAATATGATAGAACATTATTGAAACTCTCTCTGATGAGTTTATCCAGTGCCAGGGACACCATTCTGTAACTTGTGTTTGAGTCTAACAATGGATCATGTACATGGTTTGAACCAGAGTAGATCTTTGCATGCTGACCACTGGAACACAGAATTCTGTACCTGCAGTCATCTATTAGGTAGTCATGAATCATTTTCTGTTACCATAAGGATATGGATTGGTAATCAATCCTGATATGTCTTCTTCCTATACCTGTTGTAATTAACTGGGCTGTCCTAACATGCACGCAATTAATTATTTGCTTTACAAAAATTAAAACAGCAACCTGATGCAACTGGCGGAGTACAAAGAACTTAGATCAAAGAACAGTACAGGAACGGGCCCTTCAGCCAACCAAGACTGTGCCAACTCACGATACCTTTCTCAACAAAAACCTTCTGTCTCTATGTGGTCTGTATTCCTTTATTCCCAGCCTAGTCATATATCTGTCAAGATGCCTCTTTACTATTGTTACTGTATCCGCTTCCAACACCTCGTCCTCTGGCAGCACATTCCAGGCACTTACCACCCTCTACGTAAAAAATTTGCCACTCACATCTCCTTTAAACTTAGCCCTTTTACCTCAAACTTATGCACCCTCATTATTGACACTTCTACCCTGGGAAAAAGACTCTGACGATCTATTCTATTCATGCTTCTTATAATTTTGTAAACTTTGCTTGTAAACTTTTAGTAACTTTATGTCCGTTGGAACCTACCAGTGGGCAAGGCATTACTCCTTGCTGTTTCTGAAGAAAGTTTGTGATTCTCCCTGTAGGATTGTGCAGAGACTTTCCAATGCTTGTGGAGTCTACCAAACCAAGCCCCTTAAGCATAAGGAGGAAGACATTTCAATACAATTTGTCCACAAAATTGTACAAACTGTTGGCTGACAGTACTCGGGAGGGTCCACAACTCCGAAGGTATAGAAAATTGAAAAAAAAATGAAATTTACAGAGATATTTATTAAGACATACAAAGCGGAAAGAAAACAGTAATCCCAAATTAGAAATGTTTCCATATTTACATAGCTCATATCTTACAAACTTACCAGGAAAAATAACAGTGTCCTGCAAACACTCCATTACGTAGACCATTTTCAGGAAAATCCAGTTCCACTCCAAAGCAGATTTCGGGCACCATAGGCAAACCACCGATATACTTCACCAGACCTGCTCCAATTTTGCCACTTGGCAATATAACTTTAACTCTGTGTCCAATCTGTATATCTAAGACAGAGCGAGGTGCATATGCTTTCAGGGGTCGATCATTTCCGAGATCAGCCTTATATCTGTGAGAGAAGAAGACAAAATGGAACCATGTTTTAGCTATGCCAGGCGTCTAGATTATGCAGTTGGTTGTTTTTGGATGTGCTATGTCGAGGGTTAGGACTCAGCATGGAATAGTTACCAACTGGAGACATTGAAGGTAATTTTGACCTCGGCTGATATCCTACACTCACATAAAAGCACATACACAGCCCCCAAATGCATACCCTCAAAATGTGCATGCCTCTTGCACATATTGACACACATTTTGTTGTCACAAAGGTGAGCATGGATCTGGGAAAATATACTGGCAATCCTGCTGGTCAGAGAATGGTGTATGGAATATACCTAAAGAAGAACGGAAAAATAACGTACTACATATATCCTGAGGGAAGTATGAGCAAAATGGAATTCAGTCATTGACACAGAAACTAAAAGTAACAGTACAGTCACACAATATGATCCAGACTAAATAACATAGATCTGGGTGTTCTTGAACACCAGTTACTGCAAGTAGAAGGGAAGGTGCAACAAGTAATTAGGAAGGCAAATGATATATTGACCTTAAAAGCCGAAAGAACTGCGGATTCTGTAAATCAGAAACAAAAACAGAAAATGCCAGAAAAGCTCAGCAGGTCTGGCAGCATCTGTGAAGAGAAATCAGTGTTAATGTTCTGGGTCGAGTGACTCATCCTCAGATCCTCAAAAATACCTGCCTTCATTGGAAGAGGATTTGAGTTCAGAAGTGGGGATGTCTTATGGAAGTTATACAAGATATTGGTGAGACTGCACCCAGAGCACTGTGAACAGTTTTGGTCTCCTTACCTAGCAAAGGATAAACTTGCCACAGAGGGAGGTTCACTGGGCTGATACCGGGGATGCCAGGACTGTCCTGTAAGGAGACGTTAGTTCAACTGGGCAGTATTCACCAGAGTTTAGAAGGATGAGAGGGGATCTCATTGAAACATATAGAAGTCTAACAGGTCTGGACAGACTAGATATAGGGAGGATGTTTCCCCTGGTGGGGGAGTCTAGAACCAGGGGTCACAGTCTTGGGATATGGGTGTAGATCATTTAGGACGAAGATGAGGAATTTTTTTATGCAAACGGTATAAATCACTTCCACAATCACTGAACATATTCAAGAACGAGATAGCTAAATATTTAGACTTTAAAGACATCAAGGCATATGGGGGAAAGTGAGAACATAGCATTGAGATAGAGGATCAGCCATGCTGTGGTTGGTTGTCTCGCCAAGCTGGTTCGTTGTTCCGCAGATGTTTCATTACCCTGCTGGGTAACATCATCAGTGCAGTCTCCGATAAGCGCTGTTGTGTTTTCCCATCTGGTCCCCAGAGTTTAAATACCAGGCAGGAAAACACAACGGTGCTTCATCGGAGACTGCACTGGTGATGTTACACAGCAGGGTAATGAAACGTCTGCGGAACAACAAACCAGCTTGGTGAGACAACCAACCACAATATCCACAACCCGAGCTACAGATCTACTCAAGAACATCAGCCATGATTGTATTGAGCGATGGAGCAGGCTTGAAGGGGAAAATGCCCTGTTCCTGCCCTAGTTTCTATGTTTTGGAAGTGGTTGTGGCAGAGTGTAGTATATATTGGTATGTACAAGTGATCCATTGTTGTTGTTTTGACCTTTTTTATTGAAAGCACTGAATGCGCATTGCCATCATGAGACATTGGTGCAGTGCTCCTTCGTGAAGTATCTTATATCAGAATAACGCTAAAGGTTGGATATACAGCCAACTCTGTTCTGCCAGATTGCTGCAGGGGATTTCCTGAAACTCAGCCTTATTAGCTGAACCTGCAGAGACAAAGTGAGTAGAATTGCTGTTGTTGATATGGCAGCAAGTGTGCTGAGTTCAGACAGCATAAGCACACTCACAGAGAGGATGTAAAACACAAAATCACACTCTATTAATAGCAAGCCCCTGCAATTAGAACAAATGTTGCAAATATCACTGAAGAGGAGAGGGCAATTTCACTGGTCACCAGTTGTTTATTAGCCTGAAGTTACCCTTTCAATCAGAGCTGATTTTGTACATTCCATTATTATTACCATACCTGGTGTTTTGTTCCAGATGACTTAGCAATTGAACTGAACTCAATTTGACATAAACAGAAGAATTAAACTCTGGGAGGCTTTGAGAGCACCTGTTCACTGTAGTTCTCACTCAGGGCCAGATTTTACAATAGAAACAATGGCAAAGGTAACAGCACTCTATTACTTACATGCAAATTGGGCAGAAATGCCCAGCAGCCACAAGAAGAAGTCAGGAAGTTGCCTGTGTGGCTAATAGACATTTCTATTAAATGATTTGGAGAAAGAAACCAAAAATACGAGAGGTAAATTTACAGATTGCAAAAAGAGAGGTAAAAAAGTGAATTGTGAAGAGATATCGATAAGTTAGCTGAGTTAACAAAGATCTGGTAAATAGGGTACAATGTGGGAAAGCATGAAATTGTCCGTTTTGGCAGAAAGAATAAAGAAGCATATTATCTAAATGATGAGAGGTTACAGTGCTCTGAGATGCAGAGATCTGGATGTTCTAGTGCATGAATCAGAAGGTTAGCATGCAGATACAACAAGTAATCAGGAAAGCTAATAAAGACAAAGGAACAAAGAACAATATAGCACAGGAACACGCCCATCAAGCCTGCACCAACACATTTTGCCCTTCCATACTAAAACTGTCTTTACCTACAGGATCCATATCCCTCTACTACCTTCCTATTCATATATTTGTCCAGGTATTTCTTGAATGCTGCTATTGTGCCTGCTTCCACTACCTCCTCTAGCAACGCATTCCAGGCACTCACCAACTTTTGTGCGAAAAACTTCCCCTCACACATCTCTTTTAAACTTTTCCCCTCACACCTTAAACCTGCGTCCCGTATTGATTCCTCCACCCCGGGAAAAAGCTTCATACTTTCCGTGCCATTCACAATCTTATAAAACTTCTATCATGTCGTCCCTCAACCTCCTGCATTCCAGTGAAAACAAACCCAGTCTATCCGAGATAGTAAGAACTGCAGATGCTGGAGAATCTGAGATAACAAGGTGTAGAGCTCGATGAACACAGCAGGCCAAGTAGCATCAGAGGAGCAGGAAAGCTGACGTTTTGGGCCTAGACCCTTCTTCAGAAAACCTTTCTTCATAGATAAAATCCTGCATACCAGACAACATCCTGGTAAACCTTTTCTGTACCCTCTCCAAAGCATCTACATCCTTCTGGTAGAGCGGTGACCAGAACAGTACGCAATATTCCAAGTCTGGCCTAACTGAAATTCTATAAAGCTACTCAAAACCTGTCACTCTTTATACTCAATGCCCCTTCCAATGAAGTCAAGAATGCCACAGACCTTTTTTACTCCCTAATCTACTTGCTCTGCCATCTTCAGTGATCTGTGGGCCTGCACACCCGGATCCCTCCGCATATCAATGCTCCAAAAGGTTTGCCATTCACAGTATAATTTCCACCTGTAATTGACCTTCCAAAATGCATTACCTCATATTTGTCCGGATTAAACTCCATCTGCCATTTTTTGGCCCTTGCCTCCAACTGATCTATATCCTGCCGTATCCTCTAACAATCCTTCTCAACATCCACAAGTCCACAAATATTTGTATTGTCTGCAAATTTACTAATTAGACCAGCTTTATTTTCCTCCAACTCATAATGTAGAACAGCAGAGGTCCCAGCAGTGATCCCTGTGGAACATCACTAGTCACAAACCTCCACTCTGAAAAGTGTCCTTCCACCGCTACCCTTGGTCTCCTATGACTAAGCCAGTTCTTTATCCATCTTGCCAGCTGACTTCTGATATCATGTGACTTTACCTTTTGTACCAAAATGTTATGTTTTATTGTGAGGGGCACAAGATGCAAGAGGAGGGAGGTTATGCTTCAGTTACACAAGGTAGTGGTGAAATCGGATCTTGAATAATGTTTACACTACTTGACATTGCACTTATAGAAGGGTGTTATTACAATGGAAACTATTAGAGAAGGTTTATTAGACTAATATCTGGAATAACTGGAGGTGCCGGTATTGGACGGGGATGGACAAGGTCAGAAATCACACGGCTCCAGGTTATAGTCCAACAGGTTTATTTGAAAACACAAGCTTTCAGAGCCTCACTCCTCCTACAGGTGTTAGTGATAGAGGTCGTATCAGGCATAGAATGAGTGGATTGCCTTAGAAAGAAAGTCTAGGCAGTCCAGGCCTGTATCCTCTGGAGTTTAGAAGAGTCAGAGGTGACTTCATTGGAACATTAAAGATCCTGAGGGGATTTGACCCAAGCGCTGTTGAAAGCTTGTTTCCTTTTGTGGAAAAATCTAGAAATAGCTTAAAATAATGGGTCACCCATTTAAGATACAGATAAGAAAACATTATTTCTCTAACAGAATTCTAAGTACTTGGAATTTTCTTCCTCAAAAGGCAGTGTATGAAGAATTTTTAAATATTTTTAAGGAGGAGGTAGATAGATTCTTGATTACCAAGAGGATGAAAGAAATGCAGGAGTTTAGATTCATGGTTAAAATCAGATCAGCCATGATTTTATTGAATGGCAGAGCAAGTTTGAAGAGTTGAGTGGCCTACTCTTGTTCCTTGTTCATTTGTGCCTTTGAATATTCAGCACACCATCTGGTTCCCTACTCCAATAGAATCTATACAGTGTAGAAGCAGGCCATTTGGCTCATTGAGTCCACACCAACCCTCCAAAGAGCATCCCACCCGGACCCACCCCGACCCACCCCCTACCCTATCCCTGTAACCCTGCATTTCCCATGGCTAATCCACCCAGCCTGCACATCATGGGACAATTTAGTATGGCCAATCCACCTAACCTGTATATCTTTGGACTATGGGAGGAAACTGGAGCATCTGGAGAAACTCATACAGTGACAGGGAGAATATGCAAACTCCACACAGGCAGTTGCCTGAGGGTGGAATCGAACCCAGGTACCTGGTGCTGCAAGGCAGCAGTGCTGA